ACTTGATGGGAAGATATGCGTGTTGAAGAAGATCTTGAAGGCTCTCGGAGTTGAAGATTCGATGTTCGAATTCATCCGTAGCGAAGTAGTAGAAGAAGCTTCAAAGAGGCGGGAAGCTGGAGAAATTGATGGAGAGACAGCGAAAGAGAAGGAGTTTTCTGTTTTGCTCTATGCACTGCATTTGAATCTGAGGTGGAAGAAGTATCTGATTGTATTTGATGATGTGCGAGACGAGGACAATTGGGATGAGAAGCTCGATGTGAAATTCAAGGAGGGTGAGAAATGGGGGAAGCATCTTTCAGATGGATTCCCTAAAGAGTCTGGTGGGAGAGTCATATACACGACCAGGGAAAAGAAACTGGCACAGAAGCTAGTTGCAGAAGAACATGAGATACATCGTCTTTGGCCTTTGACTGATACTGAGAGTGTCTGGAACATATATAAAGAAGCGCTGGAAGAGAATGAAGAAGAGCCTCCAAGGAACGACAAGAAATGCTCAGTTGAGCTGATGAACAAGTCTCGTGGTCTTCCCTTAGCCGCTAGACAGTTGGCCACGCTTCTTCCCGTGTTTCTTTACGTTGAAAAAGCTGACCAGAAAGGTTATACCCATGAACCAGCCAACTCAGCCAACAACCCCACTTCATAAGAGAATCGACCTACTCAATCTTAGCTGGCTTGAGAAGATTGAAGAGCCCTTTTCCATTATCTTATCATGTTTGCTTTTGTTTTTCATGATTTCTTGTTTGTCTTTCAGTTGTATCAATAATCAGAATCTCCAAGTAGAGTTTTCAAAGCCACACTATGTTTCTTGGTTTTGATGTCTGAAAATGTTGCACTTTTAACTGAAGAAACCATAAGAGATAGTTCCGTGTGTACCTTCTCTTGTATCTGCAGTTTATCTTAGTTGCAAATAGACTACCAAATGTAACCAATAGGAGGAATATTGACTCAAAGTCAAAAGAAACAGCAACCTGCCATGAAAGCAGAATGGGTGGGAGAAAGAGGTGACATGTCCTCAGAAACACTTGAAGTTATAACATAATTTGACACACTCCAAGATTGAACATTCACTTGAAACATATTAAGAATATTTTGCACGTTTAACTTAAAACAGATCTACCCAAATCCAAGAAACACATTGGTTTGTCAGATCTGTTTTCTAATTATTAGACGGTTCTTAAGATCTATCCAATCTCACAACATAACCTTACCTACTTCTCGTGATGCACATTTTAGGACAGATTAATTGTAAATGAAGTTTTGTTGTTTTAATCTTGAGATTTAGAGAAGATAGGTTACATGGAACGTCAGACATGACACATAATTAAGCAACAAAACCAACTGTAGATTTAACAGTTTAGAGTCGAATGATTACAAAGGCTCAAGTTGTGTAACAGGGGAAAAGTAAGGAACAACACAAGGAACATTGAAGTTTATTACTTAAACTTTGAGCATATATAAATATATTGATCATCTGGACACAATTATTCTGCCTCTAGCATTCTCCTCTGTGGTCTGGAATTGGTCTCCAAGGCCAAAATGAGCCATCAATAGCCAAACAAAGCTGATGAATTCCCCTCCATTGCTCAGTTGCGCTACATGTTGTTTCGGGTCACAATAAGTTGCTCCATAGCAAAGCATCTCCACCCAGACTTTGCTTACTATCTCCCACTTCACTTCTTCGTCTTCCTTACTTAGCTGGTTAAGCGCATTTGCTAGTTTACTTGCATCAGCTAGCACATTCTTGCGTTGATACCTCTTGCCTTTTTTTTCGCTAAATTCCTCGACAGAAGATAAAATCTCTTTGCAGAGCAGCTCTTGGTCTGAATCCACACGGTACTTCTTCTCCAAGTACTTTTTAGCTTCTCTAGAGTTCTTAACTTCTGCTATAGCTTCCATAAATCTTTTCTTATCGATTCCTGCAACTGTCGACATCAGAGTAGGCTGAACGAATAAGAGGTACATCATGTAGTCTGAAAGGATTTTGCTGAACTCGCGGTAACATTGATTCTTCTGAGGGGCTTCCTCTGTTTGGTATAAGAGCTCTGTAGCAATATGCCACATAATAATGCTCTGATCATAGTCTGCTTGAGTTACGTAGCTTAGCAGTTTTCTGCGGAGTGTCCCATTTGTAGCTTTTCCTATTGATGTATCGCGCAGAACCCACTCACCCCTTGTCGAATATATGTCATTGGCGCTCTCTGCCCTATCAGCATCTTGAGATCTACGCTTAACCTCTTCAAATATGAACTCCCACATATCTTTTGTGATGCGATCACTTGATGTATAAATCATCCCGTTGAGCTGATCTGAGATACCAAAAAATTCCAAGGCATAGTAGATAATTGGGATTCCAAACCAGAAACTCAGAAACAGCTTCAGTGGGTAAAGTGCATAATACAGGTTCCGGTTGTTCGTTGATGATCGAGAGATGAGTTTGCTCAACCTGTTGCGAACGCGATGAGTCCCATATATCATGTTCCTGAAACAGAACCCGATTCCTCTGAAGAAACAATTGATGGCACGATCAATACACAAAGAGTGAATGAAAGCGTCAAAGAAACGGTGAATGTATCCGTTGGTATTGTGGATTCTCGTAGACTTCAGTCCCAGAGAGTACCCAATCAGGTTGTATGAGTATATGTATTCTGACCATCTGCGGAATATAAATTTTCTATCAGAAACCTGACAATTGCCTTTTACTTTGTGAGAACAATCGTAAGGCTTCCACTTCAGCTTCCTGAAACTGAGGATCCAATTGAAAAATCCTGAAACTGAAGATGAGGTGCCCGTATCTTCCTCATCCTCCTTTGGCTTCCAAAATCTGGCAAATGTCCAGTCAGAGACACATAAGATGAATATAGCAACCAAATCAAGTGCTATTCCACCTATGAGCAATACGTAAGTTAGGCCGATATCAAACTGGTCATATTCAGATTTCTTCATCGTTGCGAAAATGCAGAGGGATGACACAAGGGATGCTAGGGCAATGAGGCGGAAAGAAATTCCAATCCAGGTATGCAGAATGTTTACTTTGGTGTAAAAGGTGCCATAGATGAAGCTGAGCTCTACCTCTAAAACCCTCAAAGCTTCCTCTGGTGTTGATAAGATGAAAAATTCTTTGCTGTTGTTCAACTCCTCAGATTGAGAGCTAAGCATGAGATCAACCACAAGACCTTTAAAGATATTGAAGTACTTATACGCGTATTGGACAGCCTCTAGATCCGTCAGCTCTGTATTTGGCCTCACGAAAACCTTGGGCCGTTGACCTTTTTCAGCCTCCTCGTACCTAATTATCCGGGTTGGCTCTTTATGCACCTTCCTAATTGAATACTCCTCCATGAGCCTTGCGTAATCCGGTCCAGGATCAGGCTCTCCGAGCATCGAGTCCTTGAAGGTTTCAAGACTAGCTCCACGCAACGCCTTTATCCTTTCCACATACTTGATGACTCCGGCTACAAGCATGAGCGATGTAGGTACCAAAAGTCTGTTTGGAATTGAGAGAAAAAAGACGTAGAGAGTGATGATTGCTTGGCAAACAAGGCCGAACAAGCTCCTTAGCCAAAGGTCGTTGTCCTCAATAGCAAGAGCCGTAATAGTATCAGGACCACCGAGGTGCAAGAGAAGAAAAGTTGCCCAGAAAGCTAAGAGATCGGTGTTCTTGGGTTGCGGTTCGCTTCCTTGATTATCTGAGATCTGTCCCACCGCGTACTCTGCTGCCCAGTTGGCTAAAAGGTAAGCCGACCAAATGAGCAACCGGAAAAAACGCCGGTGAGTTCGTTTTCTGTTTGGTGAGAGAAGAACCAGGATTGTCTGAAGGGCAAGACTGAGAATCACCAAACCACGTATGTTCCATTTGTCCCACAGATCCTTCACTTCCTTTGGTATTGCCTCACCCATGCTTACTTCCCTTCACTGAGATTTGAATTAATTTTTCACGGAGGTCTTGTTTGTTGTTAACTATGATTCCAGTAAGAATACTTTTGCTCAGTTATTATGATATGGAAATTATGCTCACTGTCCTCCCCCCCACCCCCCACCCCCCTAGTTTTTTTTTTTTTATCAACCGTATATGATTCAGTTTTGTTCAAAAAAATCAAAAAAAATCAAAAAAAATAATAATAACTAATTGGAATTTTTATTTTATTATAAAATAACTAATTGGATTGCCCGACCATGTTGGGAAATTAATTAACGAATGACTTTGTGGAGTAGCCATACTTTTGGTTGAAAATGTGATATATGGCATTTTTATTAAATATTTAAAGTGTATTACCATCTTCGTTTAAATCCAAATATAGCTGGAAAAGAAAATACAATGTCATGTTATGTAGAAATAATTGATAAATAATTAGTATTTTTTTTAAGTGACAATGTGTCATTTTTTTTAACCTCGCCATTAATTAAAAAGAAATTTTCACGTTTGACATAAAAAAAAAGATTTGATCTCACCTTTTGGCAAAGTGAGATTCATTTATCATGTTTTGGCAATTATTCCGTTTTATGACGAAAATGCCCTTGACGAAAAACCAAACGGCACAGTTACGTTACGGTTTAGTTTCTAGCGGTTTAGTTACTTTTTGTTTTGAAAAAAAAAAAAAAAATTCAAGAAAACGAAGAATTCATCATCTTCGTTCGACATCTCCGAGAGATTCGAGAGAGAAGTAGAAATCAGTTCGGAATTCATTCATCCATCTTCGTTTTCGACATCTCCGTTCGAATTGTCTGCTACTTGATTTGAGGCATTGCATTGAACTCGAAAAACCGGCGAAGAGAAAGTTCCAGTTTTTCCGGCGAAGGCGACCTGAGAATTCCGGCGAGATACCAACCTTCGAGATGGCTGGGAATAAACCAAACGACGTAGTCTCTAGGAAGAAGCATACGCAGGAAGGCCCCGAGAAGGACAAGGTGGAACTCAGAGTATCCCCGAGGAGGAAACTCCCTCCGAGAAATCCGCCGGAGGAATTGGGTAAGTTCCGATATTATTCCGTTTGTAGTTTCTTTGGGTGTATCGGAATCTTAAAGCTTGTTTGATTAAAGGGATAGAAGTTGCCGGATTTTGCTATATCTGTAGTTTGAAAATTTGAGAAGTTGAATTGGAAATCTCTGTTTCCGCCAAAATTCAGATGTTGAGTATATAATGTTGATAATTACTGTGTACGTACACGAATTCATACATCCGTACTTAATTGTATATCACTTGTAATTGCAGGCAGTACAAGCGTGGCTCCGACTGAAGATCTTATAGTTGAAGAGTTACCACCTAGACTCTTTGCCCTAGACCGGTACCCTGTGAAGACGAAGATGAACGCGTACTCCAAACCGGAGTACCTTTCTGACATAGCACAAGTTCTTAAGGGAAAAGAGGAGATGAAGTTTCTTCTCGAGTCTCCATTTGGGGACCTTTTTAGGATACCTGCTAACAAGTCTTCCTTCTCAGGTAAACTTGTTCTTGGACTAATATGTCGTCAGTTAGTGACGAGTAAAGTGAATGAGATGTGGATGGTCTTCGGCGGTCATCCAATATAATTCGGATTAAGAGAATTTAGTCTGGTAACTGGTCTAGAATGTGGGACATATCCCAACAAGAAAGACGTGACGGATGTGCTAAAGGTTAAAGCTGGTAGTCAAAGTGTCTGGAAAACTCTGTTTGAGGAGAAGTTTGGGGAGAAGCCGAATCCAACAGTGCATGATTTGGTGGTCTGGCTGAAGGAGGAGGAAACCATGGATGGGTGGAAGCAGCTGGCCTTATCTCTTATAATCTTGGTAGATGGTGTGATAGGGTGCCATAATAACCCCATAAGGCCTTCTGAGTTCACTGTTGAGATGACGAAGGACGTGCAATTCTTCTGCAAATACCCTTGGGGAAGGGTGTCTTTTACCCGTACTTTGGAGAGGATAGCAAAATTCCAAACCCCTTCAGATGCTCAAAAACTGATAAGGTGTGTAAAGGATGGGTCTTATGCACTACATGGATTCCCATTAGCACTCCAGCTGTTTGCGTTCGAAACAATCCCATCCCTTGCTAAGCTAGTACCTGATGATGAAGCTAACAGGACATTTACTCAGAGGTCTATCCATCATCTTGCCTCACTGCGGGCAATCAGGACATCCAGCATCTTGGAGTGTGAGGCTGCTGAAGAGGTATGTACAATTGTTTATGTACGTACATTATTTAAAAAGTAAGTGTACATTCTCTAAGTGGTCAACAAACTTATTGGTGTAGGTTGAGGTAACCTATCTTGTGAAACCAGAGGACAATATTTGTCCTCCATCCCTGTCATGGGATGATGAAGTTGAGGATCCAAGAGTTGCTTACATTGAGCGACTGTTGTTAGCGGGTCATGAGTGGAAGGAGGAAGAATGGGTTGGAGGTAATGCTGCATTTCCAAAGCAGGAGCGCCCACCACAACTTGGAGAGATACGTGAGTGTAAATGTTGTTTTTATACTTTCTAATTATTGTCCCTTGAAGACCAATCAATGATTAAACTGGTCTATCGTAGGTGTGAAGAAGAGGAAAAGATATGTACCAGCCCCGAATGCACCTTCTTTGAAAAAACAGAAATCTGTTGTGGAAGAAGAAAATGAGGACACTGCTGAGGATTGTTCTGAAGATCCCCAGTTTGAGAAGTTTGTTGTTGAACTTAGGAGGTGTTTCAAGAGGCAGGAAGCACAAAATAAACAAATGCAAGAAGACTTGAAGAAATTTGTCCGTAAGGAGATTCGTGCTGCCTTAGATCCAAAGGTCAAAAAGACAGAACCAACCAAAACTTCCCATGCTTCACAGGGCCCAAATAAATCGGTGGTTAAGGCACCGATGAGTGTGAAGAAGGCATCTAAAAAGATGTCTACAAAGAAAGTATTCAAGTCTGGAACAAGAAAGTCTTCAAGGCTGAAGAATATAATGACGTCAGTTGCGGAGATTACTCAGCTTTCTGATGGTAACTCTTCCTCTGAGGAAGATGACCAGGTATGGCATGTACATACATTTATATATAGTATTTTAAATGTACGTACATTTATATTAATAACTGTAACTTGTCTGCTATGGTACAGGATGAAGCCAACAATGAAGGTGGTTTTACTGCAAATGATGGAGGAGATTTTTCGAACAGAGATGAAGATATGGTTGACACTGGAGTAGCTAACATTTCAGTTGGTGGACCTACACCTTCCCATCAGGTATGTCGTGTACAAATATTTTTTTCAATTATTTCCAGTTGTGTACGTACACATAGGCTTCAGAAGTGTATGGTATACTATGTTTCAGGATGAAGGAGCACGTGATGGTGGTGAGTCTCTCCTTGTTGGTACACAGTCAGGGACCGAGGAAAAAGCTAGTGCTGACACAGAGATGGAAGAAATTCCATCTCCTGTACCTTCAACCTCTGTACAGGTATGTCTTGTGCTAATAGTCACATACTGTTTTCCATAAGTGTACCATTATCAATTATTTTCAGTTCTCCACGTACATATAGCTTAAGAAGTGTATGGTATACTATGTTTTAGGATAAAGGACCAATTGATGGTGGTTAGCCTGTCGTTGTTGGTACACAGCGAGGGACAGATGAAAAACCAACTGCTGACATAGAGATGGAAGAAAATCCATCAGGTTTACCTGCAACATCTGGACAGGTATATGGTCTGCTAATAGTCAAATGTAGTTTTCCATATGTGTACTCACTGAATGACGTGTATGGTATATTTGTTTCAGGGAGAAGAACATCGTGCCGGTCTTGAGAGTGAAGCAAATATTGGGGAGCAACCAGAAATTTCTGAGGATAATGATAGAGATACATCTTCTCAGGCTGAATACACCGAGGAACCCGGTGTAAGTGTACGTACATTTGTCTTTCTTATTTCCCGTGTACGTATAAGTAATGATTGTTTTAGACATCACAAAATAGAGTATATAGCCGATGAAGTTGATAACTACTGCCACAGGTTGATGCGGGAGATGTACCCAATGTAGTTGCAGAGAGTAAAGTGGATGACTCAGTACTTGAGGGCACCCTAGGGGATCCCCCTTCACCATTTGCAGTAGTTAGGAATGTAAGCTAACTATATTTTTAAATAAAATAGTGTAGGCTTGTTTAAATTTATAATCTTCTATTATGCAGGTGTTACAGGAGTTGGCAACGAAAGCCTCCATGGATGTGGATGCAGCTAATGTAAAGGAGGTAAAAATCTCGTGTTTGGTTTAAAATTATACACAGTTATTAACATACGTACATAGGATTGTATGCGTACATTTAAATAATTCTGCACGTTAATTTGAAAAGGGAGTGTTGGAGCAGCAGGGGATTATCGACGGGGTGGAAGAACAAGAGGATTCAAACCCAGGGTTAGATGAAGCAGACACGACAGTTGGTACACTAGAAAATATTGTGAGTATCTTCCCAGTAAATATTATCATTACATTTTGAAATTGTTTAATCATGCTGTTTACAATAATACTTCTTTACAGGATGAACCAAACAACGATGCTGCAGTCGAAGCAGTTAAAATTCCTACGCCGGTTGTACCCAAAAAAGTGAAGAAGCAAATAATTGTTGAGATGGATGACGCCCTTCCGGAAGGTTTTAAGGAAACAACAGTCCTCGTGGAGGATGTTCCTGGACGAGCTGAAGATACTGAGGTGGTTATAGCGGCTGGAAATGTCCCTTACAACCCCTTGGAGAAGGTTGATGCTTCCAAATTAGAGCTCTTAACCAATGTCATCCGCGGTCCGAATTTGTAAGTATCGTGCATTATCAAAATTATCCCTTAATTGATACATTGGTTTTCTATAACAACCAGTCATACTATAATATTGGATATACAGGAAGCACACTCTTTTCGGGTATCGCAAAGTGGACAACGAGTTTTTCTCCATGCTTATAGCACAAGGACAGTGGGTGGATAATATGGTAAGTTGAAATAGTACATTTGTGTACATTTTTTAAATATGCCTGAATTGTACGTACACTGACTGCCTATGCTATTATCATTTCAGGTCTTGGAAATGCTCGCAATCTTGATGTGGCACAAGAACGGTCAACAAATGATAGCAAACCGATGCGTTGTTTTGGACTCCTTCCTGCTTTATGAGCTTACTAAGCGTGCTGTCAGCTTCAGGAATTGTAGAAATAAGCTTGGGTTCAAATGGGGCGACCGGCTATACGACATGGCCAATGGAATACACATACACCGTGAACCTAGTCTTAGGTGGTTCAAGGATGTCGACGTGGTATATGCTCCGATGAACTGGAAAGGTGATCATTGGGTTGGGTTGGCAATCCACCTCAGAGCCCGGAATATAGTTGTCTATGACGCTCTCATAGAACACACGCGGGAGTCTGTTGCATGGTCAAAGATGCAGCCTGTCTGCGAGATGATGCCGTACCTAGTGAGAGCGATGTGCGCGGATGTATTGCCTGCGAAGTACTCAGTTGAACCTTTTGCCTATGAGAGAAATGTTATGGTCGCTCAAAACCCAAGTACAGGAGATTGCGGGCCTTACGCAATGAAGTTCTTGGAGTTGCTGGCGTTTGGTAACCCAATGTCAGAATTGGTGAATATTCAAGAAGCAGATATGGCCACCTACCGTCAGGTGTACGCAACAGAAATCTACGAGCACGGCAAGCGCGAGTGTGGTAATCGGCGTTTATTGTAATCATCACTGGATGTTGAATTATTTTTATTTCCTAGTACTTATTTCCTTATTTCAACAACCTAATTAGAACAACGTAATTAATTATGGAGATCCTCAAAATATTTATGTAATCGTTATAACTATCTTCTCTAAACAATCTGCACATCGTACACTTATTCAAAAACCAACATGTGTACGTACATCTTATATAACGTACGTCTTTTACACAAAGTCGATTTTTCTCATAATAAGATATCTATTTCTTTACTTACATTGATTTGACAACCCTCCCTCACTGCATCATCACTTACGTAAGATTGCATTAACTACAACCATAACTTAACCAACTAACTTCATTGTTCTTTATTTAAGAGTAGGAATTGCATTGTTTTGAAACACCAAATTCCAAGAAATGTCTACACCAAATCTACCAGAAGATTTGCTAGCCAAGATAGCCAAAAAAATGGCTGAAAAATGTTGGTGGTACCTCGGACCTCTGTTAAGATCAGGGCGTGGTGGAAGAAACATTGTCTACAGGCCGGATGTCTTGAAAGATGCTAATATTTATAGCATGTGCAGTGATCCCGATGACTTCCATGCGGCAGGCCATGATCCGAATGACATCAACGCTGAAGGTCGATATAGACCCTTTTTCAAAAGGTGTCTAGAGGCTGGTAACCCGATTGCTATTTACCATGAAGGACTGCGTCTAGTTACCCATGAGTCTGACATTAAGGGCGCCATTGTACTTTTACAGCGGAATGTACCAAGGCACGCCGATGCAACCCTGGCCTGCGCTATTCTGTGCATATGCGACGGGAATGCTCACATGGGTGGTGTGTACCTACGCCTGTTCGCAAACAACCATTACGCTTTGGAATCAGAAGAAACACGTGACATGTGTGAGGAACTCCTAGAAGAAATAAAAAATTATGGAATTAGGTTAAACAACACATACGGCACAACCTTTTCGTACCCTGAGGAACGTGGTATTCAAACGCCTCCTTGCGCGATGCTGTGTTACATCAGATCTGGACCCTTCAAGAATGTGTGCAACGTATGTTACCTCTGGTGGTGTGCGAGAAGAATTAGTCAAATTCTCTAGGGATTTCTTACGTAATATTATCTGAATTTCTAAGTTTTTATGTTATAATATGTGGCCTTTGCAATTGTAAATAGGCTTATCAGTAATGAATATCTTTTTATCTACATCCTTGCTTGTTTCTCATATACTACTCAATCTTATGAATGGTTACAAATAATTGTAATATTTTATATTAAATTGAGAAACAAGTTTCTAAATGTTAGATAATGGTGTCTTGTCTACAGAGGCTTACGAATTATCAGTAAATACATACTGACCTGATTTAGCCATTGATAATGACCTCTATCTTTTCAAAAAAAAAAAAAAGAAACGCAAATTTATGTACATATATACGTACACATCCCTGTAATTAATGTACACTGTCTTTTGTCAGCTAAAACGAAATTGCAAAAGAAAGATATTTGGTTTTTAATGCGTTTCCCCCAGATTTAGCCATATACATGAACTCAATCTTTTCCCCTAATTCGGCGACAGACATCAATTAAAACTTTTAGTCAGAGAACGTAATAAGGGTAGACATACGTACACGGGTATACGTTACTGTGTACACGTATTTTAGTTGGTTTAAAACTAGAAATATGAGAAGCGACTTTCGAGATGGTAGTAAATGATGATGCAATGCTGATTGATTTGACCTGTAATAACCCATATCTACAAGTTTTGGAGTGGTTATTTAATGCATACTGTCAAGCTCTATTCATAGAATGACCTCTATCTTTTCGCATAAATCTCCTTACTTTACGTACACATCCCTGTAATTAATGTACACTGTCTTTTGTCAGCTAAAACGAAATTGCAAAAGAAAGAGATTTGATTTTTAATGCGTTTCCCCCAGATTTAGCCATATACATGAACTCAATCTTTTCCCCTAATTCGGCGACAGACATCAATTAAAACTTTTAGTCAGAGAACGTAATAAGGGTAGACATACGTACACGGGTATACGTTACTGTGTACACGTATTTTAGTTGGTTTAAAATTAGAAATATGAGAAGCGACTTTCGAGATGGTAGTATATGATGATGCTATGCTGATTGATTTGACCTGTAATAACCCATATCTACAAGTTTTGGAGTGGTTATTTAATGCATACTGTCAAGCTCTATTCATAGAATGACCTCTATCTTTTCGCATAAATCTCCTTACTTTACGTACACGGTTTGCAATTAATGTACACTTGCATTTATCAGATAAGAGGAACTTTAAAAATAATGACACTTTATTAATGCGTTCCCCCCCCCCAAATGTAGCCATATACATGAACTCAATATTTAGTCCCTATATAAACGATATCACACACACTAATTTATTTGCTCACATTATTCTAAAACCTCCTTCATTCATCAACTGGAAGATTATTTCTAAACCTCCTTTGTTAACAACATGGCTTTCCCCGCAACCCCTCCAACCGAGATGTACCTTGCAATACAATTGCCAAACCCGATTTCCGTCCTCATCAACTACCTGCCCGTATCCCAGACTCCCATCGAGACCCTCCGCCACTTGGTCGAAGCAAGTGACGTAAACGCAATAGTGATGGACGACTTCATCACATGGCCTCACTTCGTGCAGCCGGAGTCTCCCTTTAGGGCCTACTTCAGCCTCTTGCTGGAAAGGGGTGCGATCCCGGCTATATACCTCGAAGGTGTCCGCCAGGCAAGCAGCTTCCTAGCGGTGGCCCACGGCATTACACTACTCAACTCCGTCGCTCCATCCAACCCTCTCGCCTGCTTCGCGACCGGCTTATTCCTAACATGTACTGGCAACCATGTCGACTTTCTTCCAGTCAGCGATATGTTCTGGGCGATGACACCCACATTAGCGGCAGCTCACGCAGTGGGGGAGATGGTGATGTATCACATAAGCCACCTTCACACCGAAGGTCCTCGGCTCTGGCAACGTTCATGGAGGTATGTGCACACACCGGCATGTGTTGGCCTTTGCACGTACACTTCCGGCTGCAGAGGGTGTTTCTTTTACTGGTACGCGAGGGAGATGTGTGTCTTCTATTAGATATGACTTTGATAATGACGGATGAGGCATACAATTTTCCGGCTCATGTGTATGCTTCGGGCTCTACTTTTTAGTTTATTGCTTCCGCATCTAATATATAGTTTGTCTTTCTTGAATGTATGTCCTTCTTCGGGCACTTAATTATGAATGAATGAAGTTTTTGTTGTTTGAGGACGACAATTATGATATATGTATGTTTTCGTGTACGAACACGGGATTCGTACAATTTGCTGATTGAATAACCAAAAAGCTAGTAAAACGTACACTGGCAAATTAATTGTAATTGTAGACATTGTACGTATAAAATGTACGTACAATTACCCAATAGTTTATTATACAAATTCAAGTAATTAGAAAACGACAACAAGTTTATGTAGTTTTACAATACTTAATATAAATCTGGTCTTTAATAATAAGAAGACTGGGGAAAACAAATCCCCCTATCTAAAAAACGACCTGCTTGATCTCTTCCACTTCCGGTGTGTCCGGATCGGCAAAGACCTTTGACACAGGACCATGACTCACAACCTTAGGATTAGCTCTGTCGGTTAAACGCCAGAAGACGAGTGCGACAACAACATTGCGCTGACCTAGACTCCGAAAGAAGGTTTGGAATTCCAACGCCTATTCATTGTGTGCTTCGCATTCCAAAACTTCGTTGCTACATTAGATTAAAAGAAGAATCAAGTCAGCGTTTAGATTAAAAAGTGTAAGTGAATCAAATGTGAAAAGAACATTTACTATCTATCTTTGATCTTGAAAGGAAGCTTGAGACCGTCGAAGTCTCCGGTCAAGTGGCCAACCTCCAACAACGCTCCAATGACATCTACATCAAGGGCCAGAAAATAGAAATAAACTTCTAATTTCAAAAATGTGTAAATAAAACGTAACTTAAAAAACATCTCACCGACTAAAACTTTATTATCAACTGTTTTCTCCAAAATGTAGTCGAATTGAGTGAAATCGTAAAACGATATTGGGTCCCTTCGTAAGGCGTTAGTAACGACGGTCCGATCCATAAACCATATGCCGTAGTCATGAGATGTTGCTCTCACTGAGTCAGCGACGTTACGGACCAAGAAAGTGGTCACAATTTTCCACTCATTTTCTTTGATTCGGTCTATGTAAAAAGGAGCAAGGCGACGATCAATGGTGGCCTCGATACGGGAACGGGATCCCTACAGAATATGATATATAACAGATTTATATAGAATTGAACCTAACGTATGATAAAAAAAACACAAACACGGCACAGGGAAACTACCGAATTATCTGCCAAGATAAGGCCGAGTTCGAAGATGTTGGGCGCAACAAACTTCTTAAACACTCTCACGACAAATACACAAATTGTCCACCCAGTGATCTGAGGACACAATTCGGAGATGGTGTGATACCCGTCCATCACACGGTTAGCAAGAACAATCGAAAGACTTTGTGTTTGATTGATGTAACTGTCGAATGTGAAAGGGTTTTCGTTTGAAGGAACGTGGATAAAATTGAGGAGGAGATGTGGCTTAAATAAGGAAATTCCGTAACGGACGCGGTGGGTAGTGCGAAACTGTTCCAACGGTTGAGATACAAATGTGTGTAACCGTTTGTAACCGTTTATTGCATGAAGATTATACGTACACAGACACAACAAACACGTACACTAACAAAAACGTACACTCAGAAAACGTACATAGTTATACGCTGGCAAACATTAAACGTACGTACACCGTCACAACACTTTGGTACACACTGTCCACACATAAACGTACACTGTCTTCGCGGAGACATAAAGCTTTTGAGGAGAACTAAATAGGATTTTTGCAAGTCTTCTTGTTATGACCTGCTTGTCTACATCGTGTGCACTGATTCAGAATAAGTCTTTTCTGTCTCTTTTTCTGAAATGACAACAACAATAAGTTAATAATCTACGCATCTTATACTCAAAACATAATGTTTGAAAATCTGTACACGTTTGAATGATAGCACTTACCCGGTTTTCACCTCTAGATGGAATCCTTTTGGTTGTTGGTCTTCCTGGTGGTCGTCTACAGTATGGAGGAATTAGTATCAAATCCGATATATGTTGTGGGATGACAACATCCTTCGGATCCGCGATAGGTAGAATCGGTTCTTGAAAAGAATCGGAAAACGTTTGAAGTCCATACCACCATCCTACAACAACCTTCGGATCTATTCCAAACTCGATTGCAGCTGCTAGACCGTGTTCACATGGGATTCTCAACTTTGTGTACCTAAGACACGTACACGTACACTCGTCCAGAACGACATGAAAATGCTCACCTGACTTGCTTGTAACTTGATAACTCCACGGTCCAGACATCTTAACCGCGAATTTCCCTGACGCAGGCAAATCTTGGAGAAAACGCTCATCAACCTCAGGCGTCACTAAAGACTTACACCTAGCCACTTTTTGCCTCCTCGCTGCGAACCATCGCATTAGGACCTCTCGAATGAACTCTATCATGTACACAATCGGATATGATTTGGCTCTTGTTAAGACATTATTCATAGACTCCGAATTGTTGCTAGACATGATATTGTAGCGTTCCCCTTTACAGTGAGCTCTTGTCCAATGCTCAAATCCAATTTCCTCTAAGTAATTTGCGCATGTAGCACTCTTAGCCCTTAACTGTTCGAAGTATTTTTCAAAATCTCTCACTCTGTAAGCTTTAGCAGCGCTGAAGAATAATCCAGATACACCATTCTTACCATAATGGGTGGAGATATTTCGCTCAAGGTGTACTGCACATGCACCATGATGAGCTTTCGGATAAACCACACTGAGGCCTTTATATATTGAAGAATGTCTGTCCGATACAATCATTAAATCTTCACTGTGTGGAACAATGTCAGCTAATTTATCAAAGAACCACACCCATGAAGCGTCAGTCTCACCATCCACAACACCAAACGCTATTGGAAATATTTGGAAGTTCCCGTCTTGGGCACATGCAATGAGGAGACATCCCTTGTAACGTCCTACTAGCTGCGTTCCATCTACGACAATTACCTTCCTCATATACTTCAGACCTTTTATAGAAGCCCCGAGAGATACAAAAACATACTTAAAGCGCTGCGTACCATCAGCTTCAGGTATAGAGTGTAGGTGAGTTATCGTACCCGGATTAGCTAATTTAAGAAGATACAAATAGGTAGGCAAAAACCTGTAACTTTTTATATCATCCCCCCTTACATTTTCCACTGCAACCTCTTTAGCTCTCCAAGCGGTAGAATATGAAATCCGAACATTGAGATCATTTAGGAGCAACTGTGGTAAATCGACAGCTCTCGGACCCCCTTGCGTAGAACTGTATCTGCTCTTCACTACCTCTCCGAGAAGCTTATAACTAGCATGTTTATTATAATTCTTACGAGTGTCGATGTCACACGTATGGGTGGTATCATACGATGTGATTTTGAAACATTCTGAATTCTTGACAACTTGAGCTGTCAAATGCCATGGACAAGTATCATCAACGCAGACCATCTCCAATCTTGTAGGACATGACCTACGTTGCTTGTAGCAAAAGCATTGTTTGATTGCGAGATAAGACATTATTTGTTGTATGACTTTTCTGTTCTTAAAAACACTCCCGACATACAAAGTCTCACCTGTCGTACTCAGTTCGACTTGTGTCTCATCATCTCGTAAATTGGCTAAATCATCGAATACCGGAGCAGCATCATTATCGAGAATCTCCAACTCGCCACCATGTAATGTAGAAAAGTCATTATACACTTCGTAAGCCTCAGCTGCGGTAACTAACCGATTATCATTCAGTGTCCCATTTGCGGGAGCTCCAATACCACGGTCGATAGTGACTTCGTATATACCATTAATATTGGTATCCGTGTTACATTCGAAGCCTGTATCTTGTACACACTCTGTAGTGTACGTACATTGGTACAAACCATGTTGACACGTACGTCTTGGAGTCACCGTTGGTGTACGGTCACCCGAATGAGAAATGTTATCTCCGCCAGGTGCAGTAACTAGCCGATTATCATTCAGTGTCCCACTTGGGGAATCTCCAATACCACGGTCGATAACATCATCCCCAGAGACATCGTCTATACCATTAATATTGGGATCGGTGTTACCTTTGCAGCCTGTATCTTGTACACATTCTGTTGTGTACGTACATTGGTACAAACCATGTTGACACGTACGTCTTGGAGTCACCGTTGGTGTACGGTCAACCGAGTTATCTCCCCCACGTACACGATGACTTGTGTACGTACACTCTGCCAATAGACGACTGAATTCCCCTGGATGTTGAACCGTTTGTTGAGTAAGAATGACGTCCTCCTCAACATTCCCTATTCCATATTCTTCAATAATTAAATCGTTCCACTTGTTGTAATCGTAATCTTCGCCACTGCCTTCACTACCGTCTATAGTAGGATCGAGGGTACTTCCCCCCATAGATCCATCATCACCCTGATAATCATCATACCCAGCACCATCTTCGTTTTCCTCCTCCTCTTCTTCATCCTCATCTATTTTATCGTCTTCAACGTCGTCTTGCTCATCTACGGCCTCATTATTTCCATCTACATTTGAAGCCGCTACGATGGGATTTGGTGTCGTTGCACTCCCACACACACGGTAACTCTCACCATCGGTCCTAGGGACAGTATTCCCGAGTGCCTTGACGGTTGTAATGAAAGAGACAAACAAGGTGACACTAGGATCCCCACCACGAATCAAAAAGAATGTATCCAGGTTCATTTGATTGTCAATGTATACAGGAGGGCGTTTACTTTCTATCATCACTGACATCTTTCCCGGCATCCAGTAACTAATTATTGGATTGCATTCGGTGCACTTCAAACTGAAAACCTCGCATAATGTACGTACAAATGCCGTGTACGTCATGTTTTGCCTAACACGTACACAACGACCAAACCAGCCTTCCCATGGTTCAAATTTCCATTCTTCTTCTTTGCATTTCCACTCACCCACCATAGTAAATACGGGAATATCCATTACCAACCTGTATCATAAATTCAGCAGAACCCCATTAAATGCAAATGAAAGCATGATTATATCTACAAAAAACAAAAAGAATTCCCAACTACACACTTATAAACATAAATCTATCCTCATTTAGCAATTTCAACTAAAAAAAGTGGAAATAAAAATATTCTGGGGTTTTATATAAAAACAATGTTGATCTTAGCACACAATCAAGACCCTAGTGTGTTAAAACAAAAAACTTCTTAACCAATTTCATTACTTACACGTTCAATGCTTGTCTTGGCTCCAAACTTTGTAAATCAAGAAGATCAAACCGATGCAGAATCACATTCGTTCAGAAAAATTTGTTTGTTTGATGGATCATGTTTGTCTCTTACAACTATTCACACATATAAACTAATATTAGAAAAAGTAATGATGACTTTTGCATTAATTGTGACATGAGTCATGTCTAAACTTTTTGGGCATTAAATACTGATGTCTCATTGTGTTTTAATGTTATTAATCCCAACTTGTCACTGTACTCCCGCACAAATCAATTAAGAGCGAAATATATTGCGTAACCGGAACAGTGTACGTAACTAAACCTCTTAACTGAACCGTACAGTGAACCGCTTAACTGAACCGTACGCTTAACTAAACCGTACAGTGAACAGTACATCGGTAGGGGTAAAATGGTCAGATTTTGGCCAAAATGTCAAAACATGAAAGCTCATTCTCACTTTGCCAAAACTTGAAAATAAAACTTGGTCAACTGCCATAACTTGAAATTTACCCTTAATTAAAAGGACTCCCTATTTGTTGATTGGTTATACACTACAGAAAGGAAGATAGCATCGTACTCCATCCGTTTCGTACTTCATCCGTTTCGTTTTACTTGTCGTTTTAGAGTTAAAATTTTGTTTCATAATAGTTGTCGTTTTAGGTTTTCGATGCAAATGTTTGGTGAAAATTTCAGTTTTATCCCTACTGTTTTAATGTTTCGGCCAATGAATTTTTTTTATAAAATATATTAATAAAAAGTAAAACAGAAAATTTAATGTTTTTCTTAATTTGTGTGAAAAAACCTTAAACGACAACTAAAACGAAACGGAGGGAGTATTATTTAAAAATATAAGATAAAATACTATTTTGTAGAGCACAAAATATGTGAGATGACAAAAAAGGTGGAAAACATTAACTACTCTCAGAAAAAAATGGAAAACCCCAAAAACCTATTTTAAAAAATATATTGGTGAGAAAAGTGTAAAAGTTAAAGGGGTTTTTCAGTTCTCAAAAAATAAATAAATAGTTTGCAATATATTTCATTTACGAATTCAGTCTGTTTCCACTAAAATTATCTTTGTGTGGTTCCTTGCATTTGTATTCATCATCATTGATAGGCTTGCGCATTACGGGTTGGGCAAGCCATCCTTCCCGTACTCGACCTGAATTTTTTTTTTTGTTAAAATACTCGACCTGAATTACTCGAACTTTTCTAATAAAAAGTAATAAAATGCTTGGGTCAAGAAACTTTTTTCAACGGTAAAGGCTGGATATCCAAAATAACTGTTCCTAAATATACTCAAACTTACTCAATGTTTTTAAAAATTGTTCAAGAGATTCTAAAATTGTCCAAAATTTCACAAAAAATCTTATTACTATAATATTAAAATGGGAAAATTGGAAATAAAGGGTAAATATTTAAGTATTTGTCCATATATGAATTCTATGAACAAATATCAACTATTCCTAAACTACCCCTTGCATAAGATTGAACCAATTGTTTCAAAAATAATTAAGAAAAATATGTATTAAAATGATAAAGAATACATGAAGATATATAAAATGTCAAAAATATATGGTTTTGTTTTCGTTTTAGATGGATAAAATTTGATCTATAAAGTTTAGAATATGTCTTCTGAAATTAGAATGTATATTCTATACACTCTACATGTTCTACAAAATTTATATTATGTATTCTACACACTCTACATGTTCTACAAAATTTAGAAGTCATTTCTGTTCTACGGTATTTAGAATACTAGTTTCTACGACTTTTAGAATACATATTATATACTTTGTTCTTTGTTCTACAAAAATTAGACTATGTTTTCTAACATTTACTCATGTTTTAAGAATGTTAGAAAACATATTCTTAAGATTTTTTTTATTCTATAAAAATTAGAAAGTACATTCTATCTAATTTAGATTTTAAAAAAAAATCTTAAAATATGGAAATTGAATATAATGAATTTGATTACATCTACAAATTACAGAAGTTGAATTCTGAATACTTTAAAATTCTTTATACCTAAGTGAATAAATTATAACACAAATTATAATTTTTCTTTATACTTCACACTTTTTTCTATAGATTACGCTTAATTTCTTGTCTCAAAACCCGGAAAATTAGTTGAATTTTGAATACTTTAAAATTCTTTATACCTAAGTGAATAAATTATAACACAAATTAGAATTTTTCTTTATACTTAACACTTTTTCCTATAGATTACGCTTAATTTCTTGTTTCAAAACCCGAAAAATTATAGTTGCGCTCCATAAAGAAACTGAAATCAAGGGAGTGAGATAGAGAGAGAGAGAGAGATTCAAGAAGAAGAAGAAGAAAAAAGTTATTTAATATGACGTTATTAGAGAGGAGAGAACAATTACGAAAGCTTAACTTTGATGAGCAAGAGAATCAAAGAAGAAGAAGATATAAAATTATCTACGGCAAAACAAATAATGGAATGTAAATAAATGTTGATTTTGTCCTATATTTTTTCCAAATTGTTTTTAGAAAGAAATCAATTTAATTTTGAATTTTTTTAATAGTTTAGTAAGATTATAAAAGACTGGGGGCATATTGGGATTTTAATTATATGAAATCATATATGACCAATATTAAAGTATATATGATCAATCATAAATATAGAATGCATAGATGGACAATAGTTTAAGTATTTGTCCTTTATTTCCAATTTTTCCATATAAAATTATCCTCAATTATTCGTGCAGATATTAATTTTAATAACAAAAATTATGCGTTTCGGTATTGATTTTAACTACCCGACTATACTATTACTCATATTATTTGATCCTTATATTAACGAATATACTTTTACTAGTAATTTCTAAAACCCAAGATACCCGCACCCGACCCTTACCGGCCACATATACCCTTAATGCACATGGTTAATTAATACCCTTTGATTTTTAATTGTACACTTCTAAATAAATATAGATTTTGAGGCCAAAAGTCTAGAATTTATTTATTTGTTTTACTATCAATAAAATAAAGATAGACGGGAACAAGGAAGATATAATAATTCATATTTAATATCAATACCCTCCGTTGAGGCCTAATCAATAGTTTAAAATCCTTAGATTCTTTAATTTGTATTATTTCTAAATAAATAAAGATTGGGAGGCCAAAAGTCTTGAAAGGTATTATTATTTATATACTATCAATAAAATAAAGAAAGACTTGAATGACGAAGACATATACTTTTAAATAGGGAATCAAGTCATATTTAATACTGCTTTTTGTTTCAAAATATATACTCCCTCCGTTTCAGTTTAGTTATCGTTTTAGGATTTAAATTTTGTTTCATATTTTTTTTTTATCATCCGAAATTAATTAACACTCAAAAAAGCCATTCCCGAAGAATGTTGTTTACATATGTGATATGACGCGGTTCTGTACGAATTTTTCGTGCCAGAGAGTCCGCTTTGACATTTGCTCTACGAGAAATTAAAGATAAAGAAAAACTTAAGAATTCTTCCTTGTAGCTCTGAAAATTCCTCCAAATACACTGAAAACGCCGGCCATTCGGTTGGAGAAGACACCATTCGGTTTCATAATAGTTGTCGTTTTATCCCTACTATTTTAATGTTTTGGCCAATGAAATTTTTTATAAAATATATTAATAAAGGGTAAAACAGAAAATTTAATGCTTTCTTAATTTTTGTGAAAAACATTAAACGACAACTAAAACGAAACGGAGAGAATACTATTTTAATTAAAACACATATATTAATTTTGAATTATATTTAATACTCCTATTATTTAATATTTAATTTTCATCTCGAAGCCCCCTTGGCCCATTGGTTGACCAATGGTTAATTAATGCTTCTACACCGAGAGGATTTAGTTGTCGTTTTAGGATTTAAATTTTGTTTCATATATTTTTTTTATCATCCGAAATTAATTAACACTCAAAAAAGCCATTCCCGAGGAATGTTGTTTACATATGTGATATAACGCGGTTCTGTACGAATTTTTCGTGCCAGAGAGTCCGCTTTGACATTTGCTCTACGAGAAATTAAAGATAAAGAAAAACTTAAGAATTCTTCCTTGTAAAATACACTGAAAACGCCGGCCATTCGGTTGGAGAAGACACCATTCGGTTTCATAATAGTTGTCGTTTTATCCCTACTATTTTAATGTTTTGGCCAATGAAATTTTTTATAAAATATATTAATAAAGGGTAAAACAGAAAATTTAATGCTTTCTTAATTTTTGTGAAAAACATTAAACGACAACTAAAACGAAACGGAGAGAATACTATTTTAATTAAAACACATATATTAATTTTGAATTATATTTAATACTCCTATTATTTAATATTTAATTTTCATCTCGAAGCCCCCTTGGCTCATTGGTTGACCAAGGGTTAATTAATGCTTCTACACCGAGAGGTCTGGGGTTCGAGTCCCAGATATTGCGATTTATTAATAAATTTGCAAATTAAATGAGGCAAGTGTGCAGGAGATCTCCAGCGAAGTACAATTATAGCCGTTCGCCAGGATTCCACGCAGGGAGAGAAGTATCGTCAGGTCTTGGATCATTGAAGGTGTCCGTTAAGAGCATGGATTAGGAAGTGTCGTCTGTCGTGGATCTAATAAGGGTCGGAAGGAATTGTCCGTTGTAGAATCGTCTATGTAACAGTTCTTATAATTTGCAATAAATAATAAATCTAGACGTCAAAAAAAAAATTTCATCTCGAAGGACGCAGACCTAATAAATCTCAAAACATATTTTACTAAGTCAATGCAACTAATAACCGTATAATCCCACGTTATTGCTGTCTTTGTCTGCTCGTATGTGGAGATTACTTCTATCCATAATACATCTCAGCACGTTATCACTACGTCTCCTCTTTCCTAAAAAAGCCAAGTACTTCAAATTTTATATTTTTTTATAAATTATTGGTTATATTAAAAACAGAACAAAATCCGTGGTGAATCATAAATATATAATAAATACTTAATTTGTTCCTTTGCCAAAACGATTAGTTAATTTTAATTTTTTTTTGTTTCACAAAGTATATACTCCCTCCGTTTCGTTTTAGTTGTCGTTTAAGGTTTTCTCATACAAATTAAGAAAGCATTAAATTTTCTGTTTTACCCTTTATTAATATATTTTATAAAAAAAATCATTGGCCGAAACATTAAAACAGTAAAGATAAAACTGGAATTTTCACCAAACATTTGCATCGAAAACATAAAACGACAACTATTATGAAACAAAATTTTAACTCTAAAACGACAAGTAAAACGAAACGGAGGGAGTGTATTTTTTAATTTTTTTTTTTCAGAGAGACAAGGAAGAAGTCTCAACTTCTATTTATCTTTAATTTCTCGTAGTGCAAATGTAAAAACGGATAATGTAGGAATGACTTTTTTGAATTTTAATTAATTTCGGATGACAAAAAAAAAAGTGTTTCGTTTTAAAGTTTTGTTTTTGTCTCATAAATAATGTCGTTTTGTATTTTCAATGAAGAATTTTAAATAATAATCATTTTTTTAACCTTCTTTTCTTAATATATTAATAAGGGAGATGATTTTTTTAATGTATTAATAAAGAATATAATAAAACTTTTAATAATTTTTTTAATATATGTGAAAAAGTATATAATGAACATTTTTTGTGAAACATTATAATGAATTATGAAAAATCGAGTGACATTAAATAGGTGTAAATCGGCTCGTAAAATTTGTTAACAACATTACACATGCCTCATTAGTATATGCAACTTGAAAAAAATATATATAAAAATCAGCGATAGCATTATCTTTTTTGTTTGCTGAGAGCATATTGTTTTTTCTTTGATTTTTCTTTTGTGAAGTGGTTGCATTTTCTTCCAAATTGAAACAGAGGAAGCCATCCACATTCACAATTTGTGCTGATTTAGGTAAGCATCTTGGTTGTGGAATGAACCCATCACTACTTGTTATTGACCGACCCAAGATCCATGAGCATCCTCTCACGCTCCTTTCCAGAGAGGTTTCCTTCATATGCAACGCTTGTGGGACAAAAGGCGAGAGATCTCCGTATGTATGTCTCTTATGTTGTTTCATGATACATGAAGATTGCATCGAGCTTCCTCGTGTTATACGCACAAATCGTCACCCACACCGCCTCTCTCACATATTCTCATTTGACTCGGAGAAGAAGTTGGACTGCAGAATTTGTGGTGAGGGCATTGATGGTAGATATGGGGCTTATTCATGTCTTATATGTTCTATCTCTTATATTGTTCATTCAAGATGCGCAACAAGAACAGATGCGTGGGATGGCAAGGAACTCGAAGGAGTTCCCGAAGAGGAAGCACTGCCTGAGCCGTACAAGGTGACCGGCGATGAGAGAATTATACATTTCAGTCACGAAGAGCATGAGCTGAGACGCATCACCAATGATTATGATGATGACGATGCACACTGCTACGCTTGTAATCTCCATGTCTATCCCGACCCATTTTACAAATGTGGTGAAGTGAATTGTGGTTTCATTCTTCACCAAACATGCGCTAACCTTCCTCGGGAAACCAGGATCCCGATCCATCCATACCCACTTACCCTTCTCTACAAGGTGGACAGCTCCATTTTCAAATGTGCATCTTGTAACCACTTTTCTAACGGCTTCAGATACTCCTCTTCCAAGTACGACTTCAATGTTGATACTAAATGCGCCTCAATCACTGAACCGTCTCTAGGTGGAGGTCATCACCATTCTCTTTATTCGAACTCCAACTACACATCCTGTTGTGGTTGCGACCAAACAGAACCTACTCCACTAAGTTGTCCAGACTGTGAGTTAGGTTTGTGCTACGTGTGTGCCACCTTGCCCAGTAGAATACCTTACGGAGATGACGCACATCCGCTTTCCCTCAACCATGGTGGAAGATTGTCTAGTCAGCAAAATTACTGGTGCGACAGCTGTGAAACGCAAGTAGACACTCTCAAAAAAGTCTACATGTGTTCCACCAGCTGTGGAACTGTTGTTCATACCAGATGTGCAATTGGAGGACATCTAAGAAATTTGAAGGCAGGAATCGGTTTCAACATAGACCGCTACAATTGCAAAGTTGTTCTCAATGATCAAGTAACCCGACCCTGTTGCAGCCAGTGCAAACTTCGCAGCCAGGGACTTTTAGTGTTGAAAATTTGTTTAGCTGGTGTTGAAGCTTTCATTTCTTACTTCTGTTCCATTGAATGTGTACAGAAACATGGCCACATTGACAACATCGACATTGACCCGCGACAGCGACCAGTAATCAACGACACGTTTTATTGTTCATTTCCTAGTGACTTTGAATTTTATCTTTGATGACTATGAAATAAACATGATTTTAGTCTCTCGTAATCGCCAGAGACTACGAAACAAAGCCAGAAGCAGTTACCTTGATGTTATGCAATTTATTTTCTCCCTTTCATGTACCGTGAGTTTTTTTAACTGATTCCTTTGTTTCAAAGATGATAAACGCAAAAACTGATACACCTTACTGAAATTTATCTAGTTTGACACAAATTTAGAAAAAAATAACTAGATAAACACCCAAATAATATGGTTTACTATAATAATATAATTTTGGGAGACTCACAAAAATGCCCCTTTTTCAATACCCCTTTTCAAAAATGCCCCCTTTGGCTGTCCATTTTTAAAAATACCCCTTTTTATGTACAAAATGACTAAATTACCCTTCTTTTAATAAAAGATATTACAAATATATAAGGAAATATAACAAAATTAGGTTCATAAAATACAAAATATTTTTGGCGGGAAAAGTGATCCCATAATTTTTACCGCCAAAAACACTTGTAAAAACTTGTAAAACTTTTAAAATACCTTGTAAAATTTTCCCGTAAAATTTTTTCCCGCCAAAAAATTTTCCCGCCAAAAATTTTTTTTTGCGGGAAAAGTGATTCCGCAATTTTTTTGGCGTTAAATTTTTGGCGGGAAAAAATTTTACGGGAAAATTTTACAAGGAATTTTAAAGGTTTTTTACAAGGTATTTATAAGGTTTTACAATGTATTTTAAAAGGTTTTACAACGTATTTATAAGGTATTTATAAGATATTATAAGATTTTACAAGCTATTTTATAAGGTTTTACAAGTTATAAGATTTTACAAGTTTTTTATAAGGTTTTACTAGTTGTAAATACTTTATAAAACCTTATAAGTACCTTGTAAAACCTTTTAAAATACATTGTAAAACTTTACAAAACACTTGTAAATACTCTGTAAAACCTTTAAAATACCTTGTAAATTTTTCCCGCCAAAAATTTTCCCGCCAAAAAAATTTTGCCAAAAAAATTGCGGAATAACTTTTCCCGCAAAAAAAAATTTTTGGCGGGAAAATTTTTTGGCGGGAAAAATTTTTACGAAAAAATTTTACAAGGTATTTTAAAGGTTTTTACAAGTGTTTTGGCGGGAAAATTGGGGGATCACTTTTCCCGCCAAAAAATATTTTGTATTTTGTGGACCTAATTTTGTTTCAAATAAGGGTAAAATGGTCATTAAAAATTAAAAGAGGGCAAACTTAAAAATGGACTCTCAAAGGGGGCATTTTTGAAAAGGAGTATTGAAAAAGGGGCATTTTTAACAATTTCTCTATAATTTTTGTGTTAAAAGATTAAATACCGATTTTATTTTCAATTTTATTAATATATAATGTTTAACATATAATAATTAAATTAAATATAAAATTAGAAAAATACAAAGCGAAAAATTTTTTTAAAAAAATTAAAAATATAAACAAAAAAAAATTAAAAAATATAAACAAAAATAATTAACATAATCATATATTAACGAGGAGACTAATACAAAAAATTCTGTCGCGGTAAGAATATGTTTGTCGTTACCTTATTGTACAGATTAAAATTCTATTTCATCAATAAAACTGTCATCATACGACATATTTTTATAGGTTATAAAAATATGTCGTTATGTAAAAAGGTTGCGAGTATATGTCATTCTAGCAATTTATATTTTTTTATATAAAAAATCAGCTATCACACTCTAGATTTTTGTTAAAAAAACACTGTCATAACATAAAATAAATCTGTTATCGCTAATAAGTCAAACTAATAACTATTTTTTATTAACTAATCTCCTACATTATGGCAGATTTTTATCGAAAACTATAATTCTGCCAAACATTTTAATAAATCTGTCAAAATTACGAAAGTCTGTGGTGTCATCATAAAATAAGTCTGTCGTGGAAAAAAAATCTGCTACAAATTAAATATCTGTCGTAACCTATTTCTTGTAAGTCCGTAAAAAAAAAAAAATTGTCGCAAAAAATCTGTGGTAGATTAATAAGTCTGTCGTGAAAAATAAACCTGTCACAACTAACCCAACAGACTTTTCAAAAAAAAAAATTTCCCACGTTTTTTAAAATATATTTAAGGGTAATTTTGACTCTTTTCTTCCTAACAAAGAGAGAAAAAAATTTTGGTCTAGGCATGACCACAATTACGGTTATTGCGGTTACGGTTTATTAACCTACGATTACGGTTATAAAATTTCTCTAACCATAATCTTAACCGTTATATATACGGTTAAATACGGTTACGGATATTTAATTATTACGATACGGTTAATATCAAAGACAAAAGCTTATGTATTTTTAACCTTTAGAATGAAAATTTTAATGATGATATATCAAATAATATTTATTTTACAATATGTAATATATGTGATTGTGTACTTTAATATTTATAGTTAATTAGCTATTTTGTTCTGTTAAGTAAACCAACGAATAACTAAATTAATGGTAATAATTATAATCATTTAGTTATTGTTTTATTGACAATACGTATTCCAAACAATACTATAGAAATGTTGTTATGAGAACTAAGAAACGATTACAAGAGTAGAAATAATTTGTAAATTATTTATGATTTGATTTGTGGAAAATGAGTAGTAGACGAGTGGAGAGGTTTAAATTTAGTAGTGGGCGCATTGAACCATTTAAGACATTGTTTTAGTGAAATAATTATGTATTTTAGGTTTTAACTGCACGGTTAACTATGCGGTTAACCGTACGGTTTGTTGGGGTCGGATTAAACCCATCCATTAAGTCCGAGCCAAACCACACACCTCGGGGCGCTCTGCCGGTCAGCTCGGGTACACTGTTCGACGGCTCGGGGTACTCAGCCGATCAGCTCGGGTACACTGCCCGACGGCTCAGGGTACTCTGCCGATCAGCTCGGGTACTCTGTCAGTCGGCTCAGTATCCTAGTTAGCTCGGGGTACCCTGCCAGACCGCTCGGGTACCCTGCTAGATAGCTCGGAGGACCTTCTCGACGTCTCGGCTTAGGTTGTTCATCATATCACCAAACCATCCCAAGTCGAGGACGCCAATTACCCCGAGGCGAAACCTTGAGGGTCACCCGAGCTAAGTCTTCTAAGGAGTCTACAAAGTTACCCAAGCTAAAGTCACCAGTCACCCGAGCTAATTACATTCGAGGGGAAGTGTCCCCGAGGCAGTCTCCAAGCCACCCGAACCAAATGCACCAAATTACCTAAGGTGAAGTATTAAAAATGGCCGAGGCGGAACCTTGAAGATACCCGAGGAGAAATGTTCCCGAACAAAGACTTAGTGAATAAATACCTTCTTGAAGGACCATAACAGCATTTCCGAGAAAGAAGGATCATTTCCGAAATACTCAAATGATAAGAAAGAATCTTTAAGGATCTAACTCAAATCAGGAAATCTTCCAAAAGCTCCGAAGAATAAGCAAAGTATCCTAATCCGCGATATTCTAAGCCGGCTTCAAGATAAATGGAAATCTTTCGAGAATATCGCTAGAAATGCGGTTTACCACCCCTATATAAAGCGACTCGAGGCTCTCACAGAAGACACAGGCAAAAACGCTCTAGACTTCAGACTACCAAAAGCTCTGATATTCAACAGGAAAAAAATACACTTTTCTTTTAACGATCGAAACTATTCTTTTCATCAATAATATCAAGAACACCATATTTGGTTGCAAGTCTTTCTGTTGTTCTTTGAGAATTCTCGCTATTTGTATCCCTAAAAAGAAACCCTAAAAAAATTTTGACTGTGCAAGTTTCGACTTCCACACGGTTAACTAACGGTTTTGACACGTTTATGGTTAATTAACGGTTACGGTTAGGGGTGGGCATTTCGGTTTAACTTCGGGTTCGGTTTGGGTTCGGTTCGGTTTGGTTTATTTGGGTTTCGTAAAATTCTAACCAAACTCAACCGAAGTTAGTTTGGTTCGGTTTGTGTTTGGGTCAGTTTATGTTTGGTTCGGTTCGGTTTTACTTCGGTTCGGTTTAAATTCGGTTCAAAAAATCAATTAATGTAACAAAAAAAAAAATTTCATTGTTTTTGAAGTTTGAACATTGAAATTGATAAAGTAATTAAATATCAAGTTCCAAGTTGTAAGTTTTTTAGAAGGAGAACCCTAAGTTTTTTAAGGTTAGAGTTTTAGAGATAATTAAATCTATTTTACATTTATTCAAATTATTATAAAAGTAAAAATAAACACATATTTAGTTATTTATAATATTATTAATATAATTAAATAGTTATTTAGTTATTTATAATATTATTAATATAGTAGAATCAATTTTTAAAAACGTGAAACCGTAAAACCATTCTCTATTTATTTTCTTGAATATCTCGTCAACTAACGATCATTTTTTCATATTAAATTCGTAACCCATGTTCAGTTACTTTTACAACCCATAGTTGATGAACATGGTTTGTTTTTGTATAAATGAAAAAGAATAAGAAAATTCAAAAGAAAAGAAAGACCGACTTTTTCAATTTTGCAATCAACATAATCGATTTAAGAGATATCCACCGTCGTGGAACGTGCAACGTGCATCTCCGTGATAAAGAAACAGTAGGAAAATGTACAGCGCAATGTTCGAAATTAAATCATAGATAAATTAGAAACCATACTTCAAATTTGTCAATGGTGTTCCTAAAGTTGACATTTAAAGTCCTTTCGTCTTTTCAAACTTTCCAATCCAAATTTTCGTTTTATTTGGGTTTGGTCATTTTGTTTTAGCTGTCGTTTAATTTTTAAACAAATATATAACTTGAATTTTCTGAAAAATTAGGTTTAAGAATATTGGTTCAAATTAGTACTTATTTTAAGAATAATGAGTCTAACCATCCATTTTTATCAAATTAAGATGAGTTTTGTATTTTATCCTCCACCTCTAAAAAACTTATACTTGGATTCTGTTTGTTTGGTTCAGTTTTGGATCGGATCCTTCCTTTCAGCTCTTTTTGTCCATACCTATTAGTATCGCACCGCATGTTTTTTTTTCACCATTCAACATTATTTTAAAAGAAGGAAATATCTTAAGAACAAACACAAATGAACTTGCAGATTAGATCTATTATTAGGTTGCGGCTGTAGACACTTGAGATAAACAAAGAGGAACCACTTGAAATTTCACGAAAAGCTCTCTTCTCCAACCTAATGAAACACACTTAGATGAGAAAGAGGGTCCTTCTTTTAAATCTTCTTCTTCGTAGCTTCTGGGTTTCCTTCCTCCTTTATAAGGATCTTTTAGCTTCGTTTGAGAGTGGTTTCGTGGTGCTTAATTTCTGCTCTACTTGCTTCAACATGTCGTCGGCCATGGACAAAGCTATGATGGTGATGTCACTGGAAGAAGATGAAGATCACTACAAGAAAAATTAACATTCTTAGCGCGGAAAAAATGCTATCATAGGTAATACATAACGAAATAACAACTGCTATGATCTCGGCAGCTATGGTAGATGCCCCACCTACGATAGCATTAATTTTGTCTGCTATAGTATGTTCATATACAATAGCACTTTGTTAGTGTTATTATTTACTTTTTCATAGCAATAATTTAATGCCATTATTTAGTTGTTCATAGCAATTTATGAATTTTTTCATTTTTTTTTTATAATTCAAATTGGGTGCTATGATAGATCACTATACAATAGCAAATATTTGTTGCGTTAATTTATGTTTTCATAGTGCCATCTTAAAAAATATAACATGCTATCATATTATATATGTAATATATATATATATATATATATATATATATATATATATATATATATATATATATATAACCTGTAAATTTAAAATGAAACCATTTATAACATCTCAAAAACATTCCAACATACTTAAAACACTTCCGCATCATACCAAACACAATTCCGAATCCAACATACCAAAAACAATTCCAAATCCAACATACCAAACATTAAACATTCTGAATCCAAAATACATAAAGACTAGTCTTAACCTAAATTAAGCTAGCTAGACCAAAGTTGCTTCATCCCCTGCAATTAATAATGGACATTGTCTTATATTAGTTTTGCACCTGAAAAACCAAAAACACAATCATCAAAATAAACAATACTTACCTCAGTTGGACGATAGTCAATACATGACCAAGTTATCAGTTGGCCATGCGATAAATGAACCAAATGCATCTTTCATATACTCAATCTCATATGATGTCCTCCAAACCGCTGCATCATCTACCTGGACTATATCTACCCAAACTTGCGCAACATTAAGACCCAAGGGAGCAAAGTGTACACGTCTCTCTGGATCAGTTGAAATCACCCGTCCTTCAGCAACAACCTGCTTCCTTTCTTTAATATCCAGTAACATACACTTCTGATTTTCCTGTATAGCTCCTTTTTTCCGCTGACAAGTTGACCATATTACCAATTACTACAGTAAAATGAGACAGAACCATAATCAACTTTAGAACATATAAAATAAGTTACCATAGATCTTCGAAGAGGGGACGGTGCAGCTGTTTGAGTTTCCACTGCATTAGATTTTGGAACTGTTGTTGGAGACTTCTCACATGATGCTGAGATTGGTTGCATATGCGACTTAGAACCTGTTGCTGCGGATTTTTTACTTGCTGATGCTGATCTTCCATGAGCTGGTTGCGATTTAGAACCTGTTGCTGTGGATTTTTGACTTGATGATGCTGATTTTCCAGGAGCTATTTGAGTAGATGCATAATTCTGAATAGGAGATAACCGGCCTGTTCCATCTGGGTTGTTTTCGAAGACAACTTTGTTGAAAGGCCATGCTACAAAGGACATTAAACAGTCCTCTATGTATGTAACATCCATTGTAGGCCTCCATATGAATGTATTGGCTTCATGTACCACATCAACAAACACTTTTACAGCCTTTGGTCCGAGTGAAAGTCCATTCACCAATGCTTTACGATCTTGCGTGGTCCAACGGCCTTCAGCAACAACTACATCATCGTTAGACAGATCAAGTAGTTTGCATTTGTTCAAAGAATTGGCTCGTGTGCCCTGTTAAACGCATAAAACAATGTCAGAATTTTAAATCATCAACAATCTGTATAAACTTATTAATTAATGAACAAGTTAGAAACTTTACTAGTGGTGCCATGTCTTCTTCCTGAACCCCCTGTTCTAGACTAACACACTTCGTGGCAGGCCATGGAATCATATGCCCAACAGATTCTTCAATTGTTGACATTCCCATAGCATTTCTCCAAAGGAATGCTTCTGGTACCGTGGCAGTCTCAACCAAAACTTATATAATCTAAAGGACCTAAACGAATCCCATTCACAACATCCTCTGGATCAGTAGATATAATACGTCCCTCAGCAACATTCGCATCATCACCAGCCCAGTCAATCAAAATACACTTTGGTTGTGCTTTTTTGTTAACACTCTATGCAGATTTAGAGTAGAAAAAAACAAATCAGACTTTATAGTTATAAAGAAATCAATTTCATGGATTATTAATCACTTACCCTTGCAGCAGATCTAGAGTTTTCACCAACTTCAGTTTCTTGTCCCTGTGACATGCCAGAAAAAATATTAACTTTTAATTTATGTTACAACCCAACAACTTAATGTACAAAAAATACAAAAGTGCATTACCTGGTTCTGCAGTTTACCAAGTTTATTTTCTAGCTCATTAACCTTGTCCAGGAGATGAATTTGCTTCTTTTCCATTTCAACCATACACTTGTGATTAACTTGGAAACAAGCTAATTTCGTCTTAGTCATATATTTCCCCATTGCCCTCATTCGACCGGGATTATCAGGTCCTAATAGTTCGACAAGTGTATCTTGTCCTTCATTTGTTTCAACAGAATTAACAAGTTCAGCTGCCTTTTTCAGTAACATTCTTAGGTCGCAGATCCATCCTATCTTTCAAAGTCGTAGCTTCATTAACTTCCCTAACCACTCGTGACTTGTGTGACCGCCACAAATTTCCCATCTGTTCAATCAATGCTTTCTTTTGGTAATCTTCTTCTACTTCAAACCTTGACTGCAATCAATCAAGGTTTTAAGAAAAAAACATTTCATCCTGGAAAGATTAAGTAAGTAAATGTCAAATTACAGAAAAGTTTACCTTGACAGACATCCAGAGCATTGTCTTCATATCCTGAGGGACTTTTGGCCAACTTTCAATTGATACAGGAACGTGTTCTCGCACAATTATACCAAGATACGTTGACAACTTAACAGACACATGACCATAATGTTCTCCCATGAAAGTGAAGTTAACCTTTAATCTGCTATTTGGATTCCTGGCGATGTCTCTCAATCTTGTTGGTCCTCGCTTTCTCTTACGTGTAGGTTTAGCTACATGATCGTGCTCGTCAGTCCCATCATTAACTCCAGGCTGATCTTCTACAGGCTGCTCTTCTGAAGGATGCTGAGCCTGCTCTTCTAAAGGCTGAGCTTCTATAGGCTGCTCTTCTGAAGGATGTTGATCCTGCTCTTCTAAAGGCTGAACTCCTTCTAGACGCTGGTTGTGTTGTAAGTTATGATCAGGTTGTGGCAGGTTTATTGTACCCAAGAATTCTGGCTCTTCAGAATCTTTCTTCTTTTTTCTCTCTCCACGGTTTGTTACTTTCTTTGGTCCCATGTCAACTCACCTGAAATAAATGAAAGAAAATAGGGTTAATTAAACAATTACCAAGCAGTCATCAGATATATAGCAAATGGAAACACAAATACAAATCAAACAATTACCAAGCAGTCAACAGACGTAGCAAATAAAACAAGAATGTGAATGCCAAACAAACACAACTACAAATAAAATAATTACCAAGCAGTCATCAGACATAGCAAATAAAACAACATCAATGTAAATGACAAACAGACTCCATTTCAGAAAAATATGCCTTCACAATCAGTTCGGACATTTTCAGATTCATCCATGTGAACATCCATGTCCACATTTGCTGGTAATGGTCCAATGTCTGCAATTCCATCATCCAAATCTTTATTATATCTTCTTGAAGGAACTCGCATAACAACATGCCAACTTGATTATGCGTCTTCCCTTAAGTAAAACACCTGCTTCGCTTGCGATGCTAATATATATGGATCTTTTAAAAAAGAGACTTGACTATGATTCATGTTAACTAGTGTGAAACCATCTTCTATCTTAGCTCCATTACCCATTACTGCCCAGTGACACCGGAAGAGAGGAACATAAAAAACATTATAATCTAATAGTATGATGTCTATCACTCTGCCATAGTAAGATACCAAATCAACCACTTGTGAAGTATCTTTCGCACTAGCCCTACAGACTGCTGTTGCCTCATAGAAAACCCCACTATTCTGATTTTTCCTATCAACTGAACTTGTATGAAACCGTTGACCATTCACTATGTAACCTGTATATGACCGTGCCATATAACGTGGACCGTAAGCCAACCATTTTAGAACTTTTCCATGTCTGTCTGAATCAATTGGTATCTACGAGAAATAAAATATAACAAATCAGACACATACACACAAAAACATGAAATAACAACAGAAAATAGTAGATTTGATGTAACTTGCCTACTGTTTTAACCATGATGCAAAATTCTCAGAATGCATAGCCCATAAAACTGATGCATCACGTCGGCATCTTCCATTGGTGTCTTGTAGATGCTGAAGGTGCTCACTTGTACAATATTAATAATAAGAAGCTTAATCAGATACTTTATCATAAAACTGTAAATAATAATAGAACAAGAACTGTATAGAACTTACTCGATATAAGGTTCGACGACAGCCATATTTTGGATGACAGCAAGATGAGCTATTTTCTTATCCATTTCTGAGAGAGTTATGGAAGTGGCTGCGGATATAGGACGACCCTCTAGTATAGAACTATTCTCATAGTCAGTGTTTCTATCTAGTTTTTCCTGTACGTTTGTAGACTTCTTTAAGAATTCACTACAAAACTGGACGCATTCTTCAGCTAGATAACACTCAGCAATACACCCCTCTGGTCTAGCAGGATTTCTCACAAAGTCTTTCAGAACTTTCATATACCTTTCAAAAGGGTACATCCATCTAAAGTGGACTGGTCCACCTAACCGAGCTTCCCTTCCAAGATGAACCATCAAGTGAACCATGATATCAAAGAAACTTGGCGGAAAAAATCTTTCAAACATGCATATCGTTTCAACAACCTCAGCTTCCATTACCACAATCTGCTCTATATCAATTACTCGCTGACACAATTGGTTGTAGAATGCCATTACCACAATCTGCTCTATATCAATTACTCGCTGACACAATTGGTTGTAGAATGCACATAAGCGTACAATTGCTAGCCTAGGACCTTTAGGTAACAAACCTGTCACTTTACATTCGTCTACAGATACGCCTCTTGCTATGTTTGAGCAGTATCCATCTGGTCCTTTGAAATCAACAAGACGACTACATAAAAAAATTTTCTCTTTCTTAGATAAAGACCAAGGAGCTGCAGGTAGATATGTTCTTTTCCCTTGAATCCTAGGGTGCAAATCCTTTCTAATACCAAGATGCTCCAGATCTTTACGGGCATTTAGACCATCCTTTGATTTCTTACAATGTAACACAGTAGAAAGAATACTTGCAGCCACATTCCTTTCTACATGCATAACATCTAAGTTATGCCTCACAGGAAGATCCTAAAAAATACATAGAACAAATACAATAAGTAACTCTAACGTTAAACAAAGTTTAATGAATAAAATTTGAAAATTAAATAATATGGAAGTTTAAACATACCTCCCAATACGGTAACTTGAAAAATATAGACCTTTTCTTCCATCTTGATAACTCATCCTCATCTACATTTACTTCATCTTCTTCATCATCTTCCGACTCACTTGATAACTCCTCGTCATCAGACTCCATACCATTAGACTTAGTCTTTTTTCTCTTGCGTCCAGATCGTTTCAGATTTCCAAAGTCATTTTTGAAATTTTTCAGGTTTTGAGAAATTTCTTTTCCAGTCAATATTCTTCCCTTTATCCCTGGTTCAGTTTTTCCATCAAACCATGACTTCTTTAATCTGAAACTATGCGTTGCTGGCAGTCTCTTCTGATGGCACATATACACATGTTTTCGGCTGAACTTCAACCACAAACTGTCTGTATTTTTGCCACATAATGGCATGCCATCTGACCCTTTACTTTGCAGCCTACAAGATTCCCATAAGCCGGGAAGTCACTAATCGTCCAAAGCAGCATTGCCTTAAGATTAAAAGTTGATTTACTAAATGCATCATATGTCGTCTCTCCATTGTTCCACAGATGAATTAGATCATCTATGAGCGGCTCTAAGTATACATCAATGCTGTTACCAGGTTGTTGTGGTCCAGGTATCAACAATGTAGGCATGATGTTCTCCTTCTTCATGCATAAGTCTGGTGGCAAATTATAGTTTACTAGCAAAACAGGCCAGCAACTATAATTGTTGTTCTTCATGTCGAATGGATTAAATCCATCTGTTGAAAGACCAAGCCGCACATTTCTTTCTTCAGCTGCAAAGGAAGGATATTTCGCATTCATCTGATCCCATGTTACTGAATCCACAGGGTGGCGGAGTTTCCCATCGTTGCTCTTGTTACTATGATGCCACCTCAAGTCCTTAGCCATCTCCTCAGATCTAAACATTCTTTTCAGCCGTGGGATTATTGGAAAGTAGCGTAACACTTTCTGTGGAACACCTTTCTTTACTTCACCATTAACCGTGTTCATCTTCCATCTAGAAGCTTTGCATTTAGGACAATTCTCGAAATCCTTGTACTTCTTTCTGAATAAGCAGCAATCATTAACACAAGCATAAATCTTCTGGTAGCCCATATCAAATGACTTAAAAAATTTCTTCACATCATATAGTGATGTATGTAGCACATTGTCCTTCGGTAGCATCCCCGATAGTGTCTCCAAAAGATCATTGAAACTCTTGTCAGACCACCCATTTTGTGTCTTAAGTCTGAATAGGGACACAATTGCCAAGAGTTTACTGTGATTCACACAACTTGGGTATAAGGGTGTTGCAGCATCTGCAAGATTTGCAAAGAAGTCATCTTCTTTCTTGTTCTCACAATCTGCGGTCTCATCAGGTTCATCATCTCCAACAAAGTCGTCATCCATGAACTCAGCAGCTTGATATAACCCATATATCTCATCCATTTGACTGAATTTACTGTCACCTTCAACCCCAGAATTTAACTTTCCATGATGATACCAATTAGACCGCCGCTTATAATCCTCATCCATACCTCTTCTAACAAGATGGTCAACTACAACACTTCCTATGTGACGATCTATATTACGACAGTCGATGCAAGGACATACAATCATATCACCATCTACCAAAGCCGCAGACACAACTCTTACAAAATCTGAAGCCCCTCTTTGATAAGTTGGATCAGCTCTTCATTTAAGAATGAAGAGAAAAAAAATAAAAAAGAAAGAAATAAAAAAAATCTACAAACCCCTATTGAAAACTTAACATCTATATAATTAAATTTAATACCTGCAAAGATGCACCCAATTTAAAACCTTTAGTATCCTTAACATCATATAAGAACAGAGTTATTGAAAAAATCAGACACATCAAAAAATAACTTTGTACTTTAAAACAATTCAGACACAAATATACCTACGTTCTTTTAGAGCTAGAGAGAAACAACCATATCACATATATTAAAACAATATAAACAAACTCAAACACAAAACAGTATGTTTGAAACAACCTAACAGCATTAACAACAAACCAACCAGACAAAAATAAACAAACAAAAGAGACAAAAAGAAAGAAGCTACTAACCTGTCCTGTCAATGGAGATAAATAAAATCTTTAAACTTCCATCAATGCACTCAGCAACACTTGCAAAACATAATTGGAGAAAGAGTATAAGTTTTAAAAGTCATATTACAGTTTGATCTTAAAACGATTTATATAATCAAAGTAATGAAACTGCAGTACAAAGACTCAACATAAGAGACAAAGAAAGAAGCTATTAACCTGTCTTGTGATTAGAGATAAAAAAAAGCTTCAAAATTCCTTTAGTGCACTCAGCAACACTTGCAAAACATAATTAGAGAAATAGTTTAAGTTTTAAAAGTCATTAAAAACGATTTATATAGTCAAAGTAATGAAACTACAGTACAAAGACTCAACATAAGAGACAAAGAAAGAAGCTATTAACCTGTCATGTGATTAGAGATAAAAAAAAGCTTCAAAATTCCTTTAGTGCACTCAGCAACACTTGCAAAACATAATTAGAGAAAGAGTGTAAGTTTTAAAAGTCATTAAAAACGATTTATATAGTCAAAGTAATGAAACTGCAGTACAAAGACTCATCATAAGAGACAAAGAAAGAAGCTATTAACCTGTCCTGTCAATCAACCAGAGTCTGGCCTCAAAAGAAAACAATTTTCAGTCACTCTTGTATCTCTTAATACTGACCAAGAATGTGTATTTCGACTAAACTAAAAAGTAAACCTTAAATTATACAGATTGAACAACTGGAGAAGGAAATAAGGGAAGTAAAGCAAGTTCTTTCTGACAAAAAAGAACAAGAAACAGCAATGCTTCAGGTCTGTTTCCACCAGTGAAAAGTTACATAACCTATGTTCTAAAATTTGAACGGATCTTAAACAAATGTTCTAAAATCAGATACATAACCAAAATTTTTGTTCTTTCATTGCAAATGTTAACATACTAAGCTAAAACGAAATCGTAGAGACTTATAATGACCAAATCAAAACACATAAACAGATCTGAGCAAACACATAAACACATAAACAGACTTGAGCTAAACATGTTTGAGCAAACATATAAACACATAAACAAATCTCTTGCATGTCATAAAAAAAACCGTTTATTGTTCCAATTTCATCAGGAAATCGAAACACATAAACAGATTTGAGCTCCAATTGAAGATTTAAGGGTTTCGACAACTGGGTAAAGTGAAAGAGAGAGAGAGAGAGAGTCGGATAAAATCACCTTCAATTGGATCAGCTCTTCTGAGATTAGATCCGGCGGTGTTTCAGATAGCGGGGACGGCGAGAGATTCCGCCGGAATTGGCGACGGCGATAGATTTGGAGATTTGAAGGTTTAAGGGTTTCGTTTCTCTAAGTGTTAAGAGAAGTAGAGAGTCGCGACAAAGTGTTTTTAGAAAAGGGGGAAAGTTTTTGCTTTTTAGTAAATTTGGCTAAGTGTTTGGTGATTTTACTTCCCGCTTATTGAAACTCTATTATAGCGTTTATCAAATGCTATCATATGGTAAGCAAATTACAAACTCATCTTAGATAGCAAATTTGAAATCGTGCTATTATTAGGTGCTATGAATGTACAGTTTTTTTGTAGTGAGAAGATCTACCGCTGGATATGCCGGAACTTCCTGAGTTCTCCTCCCGCAAAAGGAATTATTTGAGTTTGGTCGGGAGATTGCTTAATCCCGATTGTCAAGATATGAAAAGTCTCATAAGAAATATGCCACGCAAGTGGCAAAAGGAGGGTAAGGTGAAAGGTATTGCGCTTACTCGAGAAAAGTTTCAGTTCATCTTTAACTCCGAATATGATCTCCAAGATGTTCTGGACAAAGGAGCTCACACCTCCAACGAGTGGTCGATTGCTGTCGAAAGATGGTTTGAGAGACCTCCAGATAACTATCTTCAGTTCATCCCGATTTGGGTCCAGATTTGGGATCTACCTATCAATCATTTTACGGTTGATGCTATTACTCTGCTAGGAGGATTGATTGGTGAGGTTAAAGAAGTTGCCTTTGACCCTGAAAGACCTCAACTTCAGGAATTTGTTAGAGTTAAGGTTCTCTTCGATGTTTCTAGGCCTCTAAGGAGATCAAAAGTGGTTAACATCAAAGGTGGGACTGCAATTGTTCGCTTCCAGTACGAGAGAGTCCAAAAGCGTTGCTACGATTGTCAAAGATTAACACATGAGAAAGAGGCCTGTCCTCTTATTATGAAGAGAAGACAAGATGAAGCTTTGGCTAGAAGAAAGGGTTCTCCTGTTGGGAGAGCAAATAAACCATTAGTTCTAAATGAATCTGACCCTTTATTTGGAGTCTTGAGAGAGGATCAAGTTGGGATCGATTCTTCAACGGGTCGACCAAGAATTATTCCAGAGGTCCTCGAGGGTATGAGGCAATACTTGATGTTTGCTAATGGGGAAGATTTACTCATCAAAGCAGAAAGAGTTCAAAAATCAGTTGGTGAAGTGGAGAAGGACCCGATAGCCCAAAAATCCATCCTCCGCCTTGAATCTCCTCCTGTCTTGCATTTGGAAGTTAACAAAAATAAGGGAGTGGTTTTCAGCTATGATAGTGAAACTTCTTCTCTGAATACTGGGATCTCCACTGGATTAAGTCTGAGTTCTTTCTCCTCTGGCCCACAAGCTAATGATCATAGATCCTGGTTAGTGGATTCTCTCTCGACAAATCTAGTTGCTCCAAAGGCCAATTTTCTTGCCTTGTCTCAACCTTTTCAGAATAAACCAACGGTTTTTAGGACCGGTTTATCTGAAGCCGGTCCGTCCGGGTTTAATTCTAAAAAGACAAAGCAAAGAAACAGACCATCAAAGAGTGCAAGGAAACAAAAACCTTTCATTCCTCCGGCTGAGGGTACAACTTTGGTGTTAAAATCAGGAATAACAGTTGGTGTGAAGGAAAAAAGAAAAGCAGTTCAAGAGGGAACAAGCACTACCAAATCTCCAAAGCTTAATCACAGAGCGGTGATCCCAAAGGGGGGTTGCCCAACCATCAATGAGCATTATAAGTTGGAACTGCCAGGGATTGGGACGGTCTCAAGACTTGGCAGCTCCTCGTCTTAGGAAATTGCGTAAAAAACACTTTTCTGAGATTTTGTTCTTGATGGAAACAATGCATGATAGGGATACTTTAGTTGATTTACAAGAGTGGCTTGGGTACAGTAGGGTTTTTACAGTGGAACCAATTGGGAAGTGTGGTGGTTTAGCAGTTTTCTGTAAGAGCAGTGTTCAAATGGATGTTATGTTTGCTGACAAGAATCTTATTGATCTTCATGTTCAGTTTGGAGCCTCATCCTTTTTTGTCTCCTGTGTGTATGGTGACCCAGATTTCAAAAAAGGCAATCAGTGTGGGAGAGAATTAGTAGAATTGGTACTAGTAGAAGGGAGAGCTGGTGTATGCTCGGTGATTTTAATGATATTCTTAATAATGGGGAAAAACTTGGAGGTCCTAGGAGATGTGATTCCTATTTCAAACCTTTTTCTGAGATGTTGACAGCTTGTGACATGGAGGAGCTTCATAGTCAAGGCAATCGTTTTACTTGGGCTAGCAAGAGATATGATTTGTGGATTCAGAGCAGATTGGATAGAGTTTTTGGGAATAAAGAATGGCTCAAGCAGTTCCCAGTTTCAAATAAGACCTTTTTGGACTTCAGAGGATCAGATCACCGTCCGGTTTTGTTGCAACTTCTTTCTTCTCAAGATGTTTACAGAGGGCAATTCAGGTTTAATAAGAGATTTCTTTTCAAACCCAAAGTTGAAGAGGAAGTGGCCAGAGCTTGGAATCAGTCAAGATTTGTCTCCGGAGTCTCTGCTTTTGATAGATTAAGATCGTGCAGGAAAGCCCTCAGCTCTTGGAAAAAAAAGAATCCATCTAATGCAAATGACAAGATTCAGCAAATGGAAAATGCGTTAGAAAAAGTTCAGTCCTCTTCTTTTCCGGGTCATGATCATGTGCATTTCTTGAAGAAAGAATTAGCTAGAGCCTATAGAGATGAATAGCTTTTTTGGAGTCAAAAGAGCAGGGACAAATGGATGAACTGCGGTGATAGAAATTCAGGGTTTTTTCATGCTTCAGTCAAAGGAAACAGATCAAGAAGAGAATTGAGAAGCTCTTGGATATTAATGGGAACGAACAGAGATCAGAGGCGGCAAAAGGTGATATTGCTTGTGCCTATTTCCAGACTCTTTTTACTTCTTCCAATCCTGCAAGTTTCTTTGGCTGGTTCACTGATTTTCTTCCAAAGGTTACAGAGGAAATGAACAAGATCCTTATTGGTCCAGTGTCTGATGAAGAGATCAAATCTGCTACCTTCTCCATCAAACCATCCAGTGCTCCAGGGGCTGATGGGATGTCCGGTCTTTTCTTTCAACATTACTGGAAGATCGTTGGTCCGCAGGTTATCACTGAAATAAGACAGTTTTTTGAATTTGGTGTTTTTCCTTCTGAATGGAACTACACCCATTTTTGTCTCATCCCAAAGATTCCTCATCCTACTGAAATGGCTAATCTTAGACCAATTAGTTTGTGCTCCGTGTTGTACAAGATCATTTCAAAAGTCATGGTAAGAAGACTTCAGCCTTTTCTCCCTCAGCTTGTGTCTACCTCTCATTCAGCTTTTGTCTCTGAGCGCCTCATCTCAGACAACATCTTGGTAGCCCATGAATTAGTCCACAGCCTCAATGCTCATCCTTCTATCTCCTCTGATTTTATGGCCGTGAAGTCTGATATGTCCAAAGCATACGATAGAGTCGAATGGAGCTATCTTAGAACCCTTCTTGGAGCCCTTGGTTTTCATGAAAAGTGGGTTAATTGGGTTATGTTTTGTGTCTCTTCAGTTACATACTCAGTTCTAATTAACGACCAGCCTTTTGGAATGGTGATTCCTCAAAGGGGACTCAGGCAGGGAGATCCTTTATCTTCCTTTCTTTTTGTCTTATGTACTGAGGGTCTCTCCCATTTGCTTAACTCAGCTCAATCAAGGGGTCTTATTGATGGAATTCAGTTCAATGTTGAGGGTCCTATCATTAATCACCTCTTATTCTCTGATGATAGTCTTTTTGTGTGTAAGGCCAGCATAGATCAAAGTCTGATTCTTCAGAGAATTCTTGATGTGTATGGGGATGCAACTGGTCATACAATAAATCTCAACAAATCTTCAATCACTTTTGGCTCCAAAGTGCTGCATTCTATGAAAACAGATATTCAAGATATCCTCAAAATCACTAATGAAAGGGGAGCAGGAACTTATCTGGGGTTGCCAGAATGTTTCAGTGGCTCAAAAGTGGAGATGCTTGGATATATCAAGGATCGGTTAAAATCCAAATTGACTGGCTGGTTCTCTAGGTCTTTGTCACAGGGAGGTAAGGAAATCTTATTGAAGTCTGTTGCGCTTGCCATGCCGGTTTTCGCTATGTCCTGTTTCAGGTTGCCAAAGACTACATGCTCTAATTTATCTAGTGCTATGGCTCATTTTTGGTGGAGCTCCTTTGAACACAACAGGAAGATGCATTGGATAAGTTGGGAGAGGATGTGTCTTCCAAAATCACATGGTGGAATTGGTTTCCGTGATATTCAGCTCTTTAATCAAGCTCTCTTGGCTAAACAGGCTTGGAGAATTTTGTATTTCCC